CTGAAACAGGAGTGTATCTTTTGTCAGGTCAGCCATCAACAGATCAGGAACTAAAGTCGAGCGGCACATCGAAAAGAAGACTTCTCGTAGGGCGGCTAAGAGGCCTTCTAAGAAAGGCCAAGTAATTAGCGACAGCGTTCCTATCGCAGTTTGTAGCCTCGGACTCCTAGAGCTGATGCCTTGGCCTGCGACAGTTATCTATGTATATGATAGATGCATAATCCTTTTATGCTTGCCTGGATTGTTATCGTCTCGATGGGAAGTGTCTACCTGCGTGGCGAACTGCGCAAACTTGCACGCTATAGCGATTACATCATTGAAAAGATTTCTAGCATCGTTATAGGACTCTAAGGCCTAGATAAGGGCCTTTAGTGAGTTATAAAAGCAACAAGAGCTCGATGGTGGTGGTATAGTGGCGGAATTCAGTTAAGCTATGAAGAGAAAATCTCCGGAAATCAGGCGAGAACGCGGCACTCCAACGTAATTTTCGCGGGTGAAGGTTTTCGAACAGCAAGGAATGACTACAGCACACAATTTATATACAACTATTGGAATTTCAATCTGTGTGCAGAGTCTGGCTTGCTCTGAAGTCAAAGTACCCATGGTTTAGCTCGGTACGTAGGGATGCCCGCCACATAGGGAGGGAGGTTACTTCTAATCATTGTGGTCCTGGGAACTGCTATTCAGGAGCGTGCCAGTAACTTACACTCAGGGGTCCTGGGGGAGAAGGGCAGATATAGCTTCTTGTGACAATAGACCCTTACAAAGACCATTCTAGCGTAACATTGTTTTCTAGAAACCAATCGATGCTCGTCTTTACCCCATCGTGATCAACCGCCCAGAATTTGTTCTGGACAAGCTCTGCCCACTTTTGTATAATCTGCAAGACGAGGAGAACGAGTGGGCCCCCAGGGGTAGCGTGGTGGTTGATAATCTAGGATCTTTCGGTTACTATCAACAGAATCGACAAGCCTGACTCCATCAGCGTAGCTTGCGTCCCCTGTCGTATAAAGACCAGCTCGACGAGAAACTGTAAACCTCGCAAATCCCTCCCTATCGGCGGAGCCAGCCCCCCCGGGATAAGGTATGGAGCATTCGGCCGGGAGAATAAGCGTCACAACTTCATTCCCGTCTGTATCCTCGTACCGGGGCAATCGTTGAGAATCGCGTGGTTCGGAAGAGTAAACTGCATGGAATAAGTCCGGAGTGAAATAGGTAACCCCCGGAGCAACATATTTGAATGAAGGCAATCGTGCCCGCGAAAGGAACGCTTTAGTAAATGAACTCAGCGTATACTGGTCGAGGATATTCGTCGGTAAGGGGTTTTCACGGCGGGACTCGGTAGTATGGCCAGGCATATTTGCCTCGATAACGTTTAAAAGAGTCTCCCATGCTTGAATAGCCTCTTCTAAGTCTTGGGTAGCCCACGGTACATAAGTAGGATTGTTACTAGAAAAGGAGAATTTTCCCCTTTCGAACTCGGAGAGCCACTTTCTAAGGATAGAGTCTAATGGCTTCCAATGCTCTTTCGGTGGCATCGGTTGGAAATCGTGGTGCCAATGAGCCAACAGCGTCTCCTGATCGAAGACGAGCCCATCATCTTCATAGCAACAGGAGCCACGATAAAGTCGTACAACAGAACTGTATTCGGGGTCTAATACTTCCAGATCGAAGAAAATACTTCCAGGAAACGGCTGACATGCAAAAGGCGTTAGCTCTGGGAATCGGTCATGGCTGTCCGAAATCATGTCAAATTGCGACAGCAATCGATTGGGAGCTCGATCATATTTGGGATGTCCAAAAGGTGCGGATACACTCATAATATAAGGTCTGTCAAGTTGCAACTAGTGGCTGTTTGGAGTTGTTCGGCCACAGGATGGACGAGTCGATTATGAAATGCACTGCAAGCTTCCGGTGAGAAGGGTTCATCCATTGTGACAACCTTGCTGATAAAACGTGTAAAGGATAACTAGCGAAAGATCCCATAAAGGGGTGTAATTGTTGCTAAGCCGTTGCAATCTATCGAATAGAACTGTCGCAGGCCAAAGGATTAGATCTAGGACCCTAAGGCTACTTTGGTTGAGTGCATTGCCCGTCACGTCGCCGAGCCCTAGCTTGCACTCGAACAGTGAATTTGGATATGGTACTGTGTGGGGTCAGAGTAATGAGTCAGTAATGAGTAATCCCCTAATCCGGTCAAATCGTGCACAGGCCCCAACAACCACGAGACGCGTCAAAACGACTCTAGATTTTAGATGATCAATATCTTCATCAATTTTAATGATGGAACGCTCAATTTTGGGTGAATTAGCGGCAATTGGCGTAAGGATGCAGATCTTACGCCAGAACAGCGATCCGCAATCATTACAATGGTCGACGCGGGCCTACTGTCTACTATAAATGAGCGATTGCGCGCGAGGTCAGATGCTCGCCCTCAACCATCGACGCGCTGCATAGGTGCAGGGATCACTCTGTATTTGACGACCATCAGTTGTATTTGCTTTGCAGCGCGCATTTAGCTTCTACACCGTTTCATGTCTGGATTTTCATCCACATACCGAGCACCTAGGACTAACGTAGAGCCCATACAATTATTAGTAATGATTCAATTGGCGTGGTTGACGTTTGAAATTCGATAGCATCATAGGCATATGCAACAAAGTTGGTGGGGACCGGGGCATGGCTCAATTCCAGGTTGGAGAGATCCATGGAGAGAGTATGGATAGAGTACCGTATCCATAAAGGAGTTCTGATTGGCGTCAGAGCATGGCAGATTAACTCCATAAAACGGCCTCATAAATGAAGCTCGACGAGGCCGCCGGCTACATAGGCGATTAGCCGAGCAGCTTTTCCATTATTCCAGTATGATACACCATCCTGTTACTAAAAGACCATCCGTAACCATACTATCCCAGATTCCCGAATGCAGCATCATCCAGTGTCCATGATGAATCCATGGGATCGCGTGGACTTCGAATTACTCCCGTTTTCTCTCGCAGATTTATGCTAAAGCACTGCATTCCCTGCCGATAACCCTATGAAACGCTCATGAATGTGCCTCAATCAATCTCCTTGTCGACCACCTCCCCGCGCGCCGGCGTTCCGCTTAGGCCTGCCGCCTCGATCAGGCTTTTCGGGACCTTCGCTCCGGCAATCATCACCATCTCCTCTTTGTCGTCATCTTTATCGTCCTCTTTATCCTCCTCCTTCTCTTCCTCCTTCTCTTCCTCCTTGTTCTTCGAGCCTGAGCTAGTTGCAGTAGCCCCACTGGACGACTTCTCGGGAGAGCCAGTGGGGACAGTGAGGCCGCCACCCAGACCTTTGAAGACCGCCTTCTCGTCCTCGTTATCTAGGCTGGCCTCGGATTGATCCGTCGGGGGAACTTGGGAAGGTTTCCCACCGTGCGTCGGTCCAGCGCCGCCGATTCCCATTCGACGATCGCCGACGTTGAGCAAGGGTCCACCAGAACCACGCCGGTGGCTTGCCGAGCCAGAAGGACCAGCGGAAGAGGGACATGCACTGCTTCTAATCGGGAGTACCGGGTGCGTATCCGGAGGCGAATGCCCCTCTCCAGTACCCTCAACCCCGATGGCAAAGCTCACGAGCCCTTCGTTCCGTCGGACGTAATCCTCCAGCCGCGTCGCGTACGATGTCTGGTCGGCTAGCTCATCGTCCTCCTCGTTCAAGCGCGCCTTCCCATGGTTGGCGTCACTCTCACGGAACTCCATGTGGAGAGGCGTGTCATCGTCATTGCCATCCGTTCCACCGGCATCGCCCTCTTCCGAACTAAGCGCCTCGGACGCGTCGTGGTACGTCTCGTCATTCGCCCTCGTTGCCATCTCTTCGAGACGCTTGGCGACGCGGTCGGGGATGACGAAACCCGGGTTGCGGTAGGTGCTCGGCTGCGGCTTGGTGAGGGAGATGTCTTCGAAGAAGGAGATGACCCGGCCGAGGAGAGAGGGGAAGACGCATTCTGCGACTTCGTGGTTGGGGCCGGCGGAAAGCATGGGGAACGCGGACGACTCGATGGCACCCGAGGAGGAGGAGATAGACACCATTGACGCGCTCGGATGGAGCGTACCGCATGCACGCCCCGGGGAGCTGAAAGTATTTCGACGACTCGTGGCATTGGGAGTCGCGGTGGTCAAGGTCCAGTGCGACGCTGGCGTGTTGTACGGAGGGGAGATGGTGGGCGTGGTGTCGGTGAGAGTCTCCTCGCTATCGTTCATATCGGCGAAATCTTGCACATGGACGCCTTCGGCTGGCGGGTGAATTGCCCCGGAGGGAAAATTCTCGGAGCGGAAGGCGGCAACTTGCGCGGCGGCGGCTTCTTGCGCTTGGGTTGGAGGGCTACCGGCACTGCTCTCGCTGGAGTCGAACACCGCATTTTCGCCAAGTCCCGTGCTGTTGAGTGCGTTGAGGTACGACACGATATTCTCGGTCTGGTCGGCCGAGTTGTCAGAAAGGCGCTGCTCCTTGTTCATAATCTCCGTCCAGAAGACCCTTCCAGTTTCTAGTGCATCAATCTTCTCCTTGCTGGAATTTCCATCAATATTCCTCCCTCGTACCAAGGCTGCATCGGAATCCACGACTGACTTGGGCTGGCTGATCGAGTTGGGCGGAATTGAGAGAGGAGTATCTAAGATTTCATCATCTCGAACCCATGAACGGGTACGGCGCGCTAGGAAGGTCGCGAGGTTGATTTCCTCGATTTCGCTGCAGCAGACCTCGCTTGGGTTGATCAGCGCCATACCGGAGAGTTGACCAACGTAGTCCAGATATTCTTCCTTGAGAAAATCCATCAGGATGTCCGCCCCGTCGTAGAGCCCGACAACGTAGACTTCGGCCCCGTTCGCAACAAAGGTAGGGTCAGCGACGACCTGTTTGAACACGGAGCTGATATGGTCTTGGACGGTCTTGTGTCCTTCCACCAGATTGTACTCCTCGTCAATGTTATGTGCGGGATGGACGGCGGAACTACGTCGACGCGCCATCCATGACTGCTGGGACATGTTCTCCTTCATCTGGAACGAGTAGAGTCGTCCACCTGGGTTGAGGATAACAATACCCGGGATGCCGTCGTCCTCATCGGCTGCGGTAGCAGTCTTTGTACCTCCGGGCTTCTCGCCGTTCGCACTATCGATTGGGTCGGGTTCTGTCTCATCGAAGATCTCTCCCGCCTTCGACTTCCCATCTTTCTTGCAGTAAAACTGCTTGCTGCGGCGGATGAGTTCCTGAACGACACCGGCCACGCTCCCTTTGTTGATGCCGCCTTCGCCGCACAAAATCCTGTAGGCGAGGACTCCGAAGTCCTGTAGCTGATCATTGACCAGGATCAAGACCCGTTTCTTCAGTCGAAGTTTCTCAGGGTCGGTGGCGTAGATGGCGACATGTGGGCCATCGGGCTTTTCCACGCTGGGGATCTTGTTCGCGTCGAACGGGTACATATAGAGCTTTCGGATGCAGAGTCCAAGGAGACGCCGCTCGACCTCAAGGCGGATGCATTCTGGAGATCTCGTGAGTATGACATTTCCTTTGAATGGATGTCGAATCACTCACTGTGCATTGCTTCCCGTTGCACCTCGTTCCATCGCCAAATGTCAGTGATGTAGAACTGAAATTTCTCATCGGGTTTGTCGATCTTGCGAATTTTGTCGTCTTCCGTGATGTAATAACCCAATTCCTTCAGGTTGGCAGGGAACTCTGGGTCTTTGGGCAGACCATCCTCCATGAGGCGGAACATGATGACGAATTTGGTGTAGCGATTGTTTTGCAGAAGAGGATAACGAAAGATGAAAGATGAAAGATGAAAGACGTAAACGGAGGTAGAAGTGTTTAGAGAGAAGGAATAAGTGAATGTGACATGACCATTGCCTGAAGGAGGCAGACCATCAAAACGAACTACAGAAAGTGGATTGAGTGAATTTCCAGGACGGACTTCCTTCTTCCGCACGCTTCCAATGTCTCAGTTCTTATAAGCACAAATTCCGTTCGTTTATAAAAGCCCTACCTCTCCTTGGGACTCATGCCGGTTGCGTAACGTGGAAATCTAGGCCCCAGAGAAACTCCGCACTTAACCAGCTTGCCGCCTGTGGAGGAAGGTGTCACAGTTGCCCGACAACTTGGCCCTGGAAGTAGCGGAGGGCGATTCAGTTGGGTCCAGTCGGAGTATTGGATCCGGCTCAAGGGAATGGGGAAAGCGGAGTTGATGTGTAAAGCGAAGCGAGTGAGAAAAATAACAATCACGAATGACCAAACGGGAAGATGGCGATCGGATTGACAGCGTCGTTGTTTGTGCGACCACCGCGGCAGGATTGCTTGGGAACTGTTGGTTGTTTGACGCAAGACAGCGTGATTCTTCCGATCATTCAATGCGCATCTGACCGCTTTGGCCGTTCACACATTCAAGCAAAAAAAGCCGAAGAAAGGAGGAGCGCAATACAATGGAGCGAACAGAGACACCAGTAGAAGGTAGGAGAATCACGGCAAGCTGCAGCAATATGCGAAGTTTTCCGCGGTTCCAATGCGGAGATGGCCACCTTGATTCTTCCGCTCCCTTTTGTACAGAAGGATGTCCGACCCAAACGCCGCCCCATGCCTTTCTTTATACAGTGTATCTCTCCTCGTCTATGCCACCCATGGTCGTGCTCCGACTTTACCAGCTCGCTTTCTTAACACCAGGAAGATGTCCCTTCAATGCATGTAATCGAAATTGAAACTGTAGCCATAGTTGTTAGTAAATTTTCCATGCCTTCTCTCATCCAGAGCACCGCAGTCGCATCCTGTGGTTGCTTCTCCGATCGACCGTCATGGGCATCGAGTGTACGTACCCTGGCCAACCTAAAATCGCTCATTACGCCTCTGCCTCTCCCTGAAGCAATACAGCGATTCTTAATCTGTGTCGGGTTCGTGTAGGAATGCATCTGCGTGAGCTTCAACTGCGCGATCGTTCGGGTTCGAGGAGAGAGGGTGGTGTTCCGGATCATGTATCGAAGGGCTTGTCTGTTGGTTCAACACCCGCATCAGTTACGAGTCCAATATTATTTCCGGCTGCCTCCTCCGGACTGGTTCCAAAGACGATTGACGACGATGCAGGAGACTGGGGATAAGACATACCGCTCCGTCTCATGCTCCGCAAAGACTTTCCGCTTCGTATGATCGCGGATCACTTTGGCATTGATGAAGCTGCCAATGTCCAGCTTCTTCGCGCGGAAGATGGCCTTCATGACTTCGGAACTCCGGGAATCTGCCGCTGGACTGTGTAGTTGGACCTAGCCTGTATGGGTTGTCGAAGATGCGATCAGCAGCTCACGATGTGACGATGTGCTGCGAACACAACGAGGGAAGGTGAATTGGTGAATTGCAAAGAAATGATTGGCTGACATAATGCGCTAGCCCCTTTGGGATGCAGCACGACCGATTGCACAGATACGCGTCTCTGAGTGGCCTATATATTACACCATACCAAAATGGGGAAATCCAAAGAATTAGTAAGACGTACCTCTACCCTCGGTCGACCTCGAGCTCGACTTTTTGATTTCCTATTTAGGAAGGACATTTTTCCCATTTTAGATTTCCTATTTAGGAAGTCACAGCCCCAACCCCAAGTCCCCAACACAACGACCTGCACGTGACAACCGCCAACTCCCACTGCCCACCGCGCCCACCGCCACCCCAACCGCCTCGATCATTGCCAATCCTCAGCTGCAGTCATGCTGGAAAGGTTTGCCTACTCCTGCGCAAACAAATGGATTCAAGCACACTTACCATTTAGATGTAAACTTCGAGTAGGCATTTCTATTCCAAAGCACAACACAAAAATATGTATGATATGATGGTAGTGACATCGTAGACGGTATTTAAATACTTGTCGCGCGCTGCCTATGATCCTACAAGTAATTAAGTACAGTAGCTGAATAACAGGCTCACACCCGCTCTACTTTCGAGCTTTCTTCACGCTCCCTCTCGAGCCTCGACTAGCCTGACTCAGCACGCTTGCACTTCGTTTCCGTCCTGCTCTGGTGACTGTCGAAAGTGAGCCAGCGGATGTGGGTCTCAGCTTCTCCTCCTCTGGCTCTTCCCGTGCTTGTGGTTCTGTAGCATCTGGTTCATCCCCGGCATCAGAATCCTCCTCGTTCGCTTGATTCCCTCCCCCATCTGCATCCGCCTCTGCTTCGCTTTCGGCATCCTTCTCCTCGTCCGCTCCATTTCCATTCTGTTCGACATTCTCCACCTTCATCTTCGGATTCCCTTCCTCCCCCGTACTCAACCCCAACCGCTCCGCCCGCACCTTCTCCGCCACCTGAATCTCCCCCTCCTCCCGCTCCGCCGTCTTCCTCGCCTCCAACAACCGCCCAATCCCCGCCACCACCTTCTCAAACGCTTCGCACACCCGGCTCGTCGGCAGCTGGATCAGGTCCGGAATTCCCAGCTCCGCCAGCGCGGCCGCGATCTTCTGCGTCTGCACCCCTGACTTCGCCTGTCGCATCTTGAGCACCTTATCGCTCCGGAATGTCACCCCAGACGCTAACCGGTCGTGCGTGGTGATGCCGTAGCGCGCTTCCTGGCGCGGCGAGATAGTGCGGACAGGCGTGGGCGCCGCACCGGCGGACACGGAGCCTTTCTTTTGTGAGGCGGAGAGGCTTTCGCGGTGGCCGGCGGACACGGGCGTCGTAGTGTTGCCGCCGGCGGCGGTGGAGGGGGAGCCGTTGGCTGCATCGCCCATGCCAAGGCTGAGTCGTGCGGGGACACCACCGGGACCGGGCAGACGTTTGCGCATGCGCTCGGTTTGGATCAGGGCGGAGAACAGGGTGGAGAGGCCCTGGCTCGTCTGATACTGTGCGGGGGATGCCACCGAATGTGGATATTCGAGACGCGTCCGCAGCTCGGCGCGTTCGAGGTCGAAGCGCTGCGAGTTCGCGACGATGCGCTGGAGTTCGGCGAGGAGATGTTCTTCTTCTTTGACTTCGTCAGCGTTACGGGTGAGGAGGGAGTCGGCGACACGCTTGCGGTCGGAGGCGGTTTTAGGGTTGAAGGAACGGAGGGTTTCGTGGAGGGCGAATTCGGTTTCGTTCATGTTGGAGAGGCCGCCGCGGGTGGACAGTTCCATCGACTTGGCCCAGATGGTGTAGTAGCGTTTCTTGAGTTCCTCCATACTGCGGGGTTTGATGAGTGAGGTTTGGGGTTCTTCGGTGGGTGTCGAGGAGTCGCTGCTCGGAGGGCGATAGTCGTATCGATCAGCGATTAAAGGCCATCGATGGTAGTACTCTTTGACGACATCCACGAGGTAGTCGGTCTCCTCCTTCGTCCAATTCTCGTCGTGGAAATGGGTTTCGTACTGTGAGTCGTCGTAGCTTGCGCCGGTGATTTCGATATCGTACTTTGCGAAGTCATAGGTGACTTCTAACTCCGGTTCCGGGCTCTCTGCGTCTTCTTCGGTTTCGCCGCTTGCCATCGGTTTCGGCGTCGCCTTCTCGTCCGTCCGTCTCCAGTGGCGGAGTACCAAACCATCTTTGCGGGCCGGATTTGTGAAAGGTTTGTGTTTCCATTTCCTCACGACGAGATCGCTTCGTATTCGATTCGGCTTGTAGGCCTTGCTACTATCTGCTAGAACGACTGGAGGGACGCCGCGTTCACCCATCAAAGCCTGAACCTCTCGGCTGATGCCAGCTATTGGAATCACCTTTTAGTACTGATTTTCCTATTTCAAAAAGCGAGTCCTTACTTAGTCGCGGTCGTGGTTGCGCCGGTCGATGTTCTTTGATGACGGGTTTAGGACCAGCAGCCCCAAGGCCCATGATCTCGCGCATATCTTTGCTGGTCGCCATGATGAATGGTTGGGCGTGCGCAGCCCAACTCGGGGATTGTATTGTGAGATATCGAGCAAGAGCTTAATGGTTGGTGATAGGATTCACTCATTCACTCATGAACCGATGGACGCGATCGAGATCCATCAGAGGATCCCTCGTCCAAGTCGTTGAGGCGACAAGGTAACAAGGCAACATTTTAGAGCCAGGAAATATATTAATGCCTTATTGCCTGCCAATTTCTGCAAGGCACCAACACGTGGCTCCCCACATCACGTGCATCAGATGTTCAATCATCGCAGCTGCAATTGAATCATTGATGTCGAATGTTCACAATCAATGCTTTCTAGTTGATTCCAATGCTGGTAGTCCGAAGATATCAGGCGGATAGATACCTATATTAACTGTCAGATTTTATTTTAACTAGAGCCATAATTCATGTCGGCCATCGGGTTTCAAATACCTCCAACAATCCAACAGTCCAACAGAGACTCAGAAGCGCCGACTCCCGACCCGTCCCAACTCTAAAGAGCCGCCCGCCGACTTGCCAGCATATCCAGACTGGACTTCAATCTATCGAAGCAAAAGGTTAGGTCTTCTAATTCTCTCCTTGGAACTTTGACCGTCCTCTATTATCACCCCCTTTTCAACCGGCACGCCAGCGGTATTGAGACTCGAGTCTCGACCTAGACCCAGTTCCGTGCCATGCCATAGCCGTCATAGCCGTCATAGCAGAGATACGACCCTGGATCCGGTTGATCGAGATACCCCAGTCCGCGCCGCAATCCAGACCAGGAACACTCCCGGTTCAACAATAACAATCAACAGGGGATAGTCGAGCTATGTGAAAGTTGAGCGCAAGCATCGTGGCGAAGTCAGGATACCGGGTAGAAGTATCTGCAACCTCGCTGGTTATTTTCGGATTCTCGTCCGACCGCATTACCGCTCCTTGAATTCGTGCGGGTTGCGCCAGTCACCCTCCATCGCGAAGGAACGTGAACATTCCGCGGTTAAAGAAGCCGCTCACGCTATTTGGCTGCATCCTACCGGTCCGGCAAACTAAAGACCAACGTGCGGATTGAAGATCTCAAAGGGGACCAGTCATCTCCTCACCTTACACAAATTTCACATTCGGTGGTGTAATTACCGCGCTTCCCCGGACTTCTCTCATTCACACACCCTATCCTCCGACATCCACTCGAAGCGCTGCATCCTCAACCTCCCTCCCACACCTGGGCACCCGAACCCAGGCATGTCGATGGCTCTAGCACCGCCGGTTATCCCTCCACATTTACGCGCCGATCCCAACTACGACAGCGATATGAACACCATTCCAGATCCACGGACCCCGAGTCCGCTGTCCGGACATCCGGCACAAGCATTGTCGCGAACCGATTCGGGGTCAGAGGAGGGCGCGATTCAAAATGAGGTCTCGGTATTGACGACCAAGTTGATCAATGCCATGAATCACCAGACGAACCTGGATGATTCGTTGCAGCAGACGCGGCATGAGTTAGAGCAGGCGATGGAGAAGCTGAAGACGCTGGAGGCAGAGAATAAACGGCACAAAGTGTCAGTGCAAGAGGGGGTGCTGATCAAGAGGGAGGACGTAGAGAAGACGGACACGAAGCTTAGGAATGACCTGGCGGAGGAGCGGGAGAGGAGGATAGCGTCAGAGAAGACGAAGGACAAAATCGAGAAGGAGTTGGAAGAGCTGAGTGCGAACCTGTTTACGCAAGCGAATAATGTAAGACAAAGTGGACAGTTTGAGGACAAGCTTATACTAACCATAGACAGATGGTGGCGCAGGAACGGGTTAAAACACAGGAGCAACAAGAATCTTTCGACCGCCGAGCTGAAGGGTTGAAGTCGCAATGGAAGCGAGAAGTGGAAGATCTCCGAAGACAATCACAACAACAGCTCAAAGATACGAAAGAAAAGAATCAGCGCGACATGGACGAGCTCAAGACCCAGTCCGATCGCACCGCCTCACACCTGCGCGCTCAGCTACGCGAAGCGGAAGACCTCGTCAAGCAACATCAGTCCCAGCTCACCGACCTGAAAACCGTATTGCAATCCATATCCGAGTCTGGATCCCCCTCTCAATCCTCACCAACGACACCTCATGCAACACCCGCTCCTCCCACCCCAACCATCCGCCAACCTGACTTTGACGCCGCCAAACACGCGACGTTCAAGCCCGCAATCATCTCACAAGCATCTGTCACACCGTCCACGGCACTCACCCTCCCCGACCTCCTCCAACCCGTCCTCCGCACCGATCTGCATTCTTACGATGATTTCTCCACTCTACTCCGAACTAGCCGTACCCTCCCGCCCACTTCCCTCCCTTCGCCCCCACCGCAACCCTCTTCCGTCTCCGCGCCCGCCAGCCGAGCGTCCTCCGGGAATTACACCGCCATGGCGCATGCCATCTCTCTCGCACACCCCATATCCCCTCCTTCCCCGACCACCGGCTCCTCACCTACCCTCCACCCCTCCAACCCCGATACTCTCGCCCCCGGCAGCCAACTCCACCACCAACTCCTCACCTCCACCCTCAAGGACAGCAAATTCTACAAGCGCGTCCTCACTGAAGACATCGACCCCACACTCCGCCTCGACCTCGCCCCCGGCCTCTCCTTCTTCGCCCGCCGCACCGTCATGGCCGCCCTCGCCGCCGGCACCCTCGTCGTCGAACCCTTCGGCCCCCCTCCCGCCAAAAACGCCACCTCCCCCCAAACCCCCGGCACCTCCAAGCGCCGTAGCCTCGGCATGCTCGGCGCCGACGCCCACGCCTCCGCCGAGCGTCTCAACGGCCGCAATCGCGGCCTCACCCACGACTCTGCTGCCACCGGCCCCCCCGAGCGACCCGAGCGATCCGGCATGGCGCTCAGCCTGACGACCGCGGCGGAGAAGTTCCTCCCTCGGAACCACGGGCCGGTCCACCCGTGCGCGCTGTGCGGGGAGAACCGGAAGGTGGTGACCGGGGCGGATAAGCGGGGCGGGGGATACGTGGACGAGGCGTACGCACGGCGGCACTGTTTCCGGGTGAGCGAGGAGGGGGAGCGGACGAAGTATCCGTTGTGTGGGTACTGCGTCGCGCGGGTGCGAGCTGCGGCAGAGCTGGTGGCGTTTTTGCGAAGGGGGGTGGGGGGACATTTGACGGGGGGCACGCAGGGAGCGGAAGATCGGGAGAAGGAGAAGGAGGTGACCGGGCGGCTGTGGGAGGAGTGCGTGCGGTTGCGGGAGAGGATGTTTTGGGCGAGGATCGGGGGTGGGGTGGTGCCGAAGATCGAAGTGGATGGGGAGGGGAAGGCGGAGGGGCGGTTGGACGAGGCGGAAACGAGGGACATGACGCTCCGGGTTAGTAGTGAGAGTGCGCGGACAGGCAACACGGTCGGTAGCGGGGAAGCGTTGGATTCGGTTGTCGAGGATCGCGCGGTCGAGGAGAAAGGGGAGAGGGAAGATCGGGAGCGGGAACAGCATCAGAAGGATGATGTGTCGAGCGGGAGCGTCAGCCCGTCGTTTGGGACGCCAGACGATGAGAAGGAGAACGAGCCGGTTAGCCCATTGGAAGAGAGACGAGCAACCGATGTGAAGCTTCCAGGGGCGTTCGCCGGCTAATCTTGGGACGCGTTCCGGCTAATGTTTAACCGGGGTGACGGATGGAAGTTGCATTGGTACCTGGTGATTCGGTTCTGCCAAAGAGTGCCTTATGAGAGATGGGGAAAGGCTTTTGTATGATAACGGATGTGATTGGAACGGGACTGCGAAGCAGCTAATGAAGGCGACGCCGGTCATATATATCTCTAGCATTCGAGGAAAGCAGCGCAGTTGGTGATTATATAGAAATAAGCTGCTTAGCATAGCTCCTAATCAAAAAATATTCTACATATGCTATCAGGCGAAACTATGTCCGTCGGTCTATGTACAATTGCTCGACTTTACAATTCCGTACTCTGGGTATTTCGGACCTTCTCCCACTTCGTCAGCAATAGCTTCCACCCATCAGCATCCACGTCACACAAGTATCTCCGTTTTCCAACCCGCTCCATTCGCCTCGCCTCCGCATCCCCATTATCTCCACCGATCGTCCCGTTCATAACCCTTACCTTCATCCCGCCATCCCTCCCCATCATCTCCTGCGCCAACGTCTGTAACCCCTGCCCTCTCAACCCACTGTCGACGGTCGCGGACTCGGGGATGAGTAGCGTCCTAGCTACAGGCGGATAGCGCGCATCATCGCCCTCCGTCCCATGTACGTCTCCCAGGCCGCCGATCGCGAACAGCACCGGGACACCGTCATCGGACGGTGTCGGCTCGCTCCACGGCAGCAGCACCGGGTCCCCGGGTCGTAGAAAACCCGGTACCTTCACCCATCCGACGCTCCCATCGCGACACGGCACCGCGATCCCGGTCTCGTTGTCCGCAGTGCTCGTCGGATTGACGGTATGCCAGAGCGGTGTTGGACCTGGCGATGGAACCGAGATATGTTGGAAGATGACGCGTTTCGCTCCGTGGACCTTCGCCACGAGACCCGAGTTTTCGGACGGGTTTGATTGATCGGAGGAGGGGTGAGGGCTCACCTGGTCCATGCAAGCGTCGTACGTCGTGGTGTCCCAGAGGTTCGCGAGGATGCGGGAACGGCGCGCTATGTGGCGAGCGGACATGGTGGGCCAGGCGATGCGGCGGTCTGAGGGGGTGATTTTGGGGGCGTGGGAGATGATGAGGCGGCGGGGAGATTCGGCCTCTGCCTCTGTTTCTGCATGAACGGATGGCGCGGTGGGTAGGGGCTGGGCTGGGTCGACGTTCGTGCTTGACTCTGCCGGCTGGGTATCGCTCGATTCTACGACAGTGACACCGTGGCTATCGACGTCTGACTGTCTTCGCACAAACTTCCTCCCATCAATCACGGCGCCCAGTACCCTCGCCCCCTCTTCCGTGACCGATCCTACTAACTCCTCCACGCTCATGCCCTCCTCAACCTTTACCCACCGCTGCGCCACTACCGTCCCTGTATCCATGCTCGTCTCATGCAGCCTCTGCACGGTCACACCCGTCCACTCCCGTCCTTGCAACAGCGCATGGTGGATGGGTCCGGCGCCAGGTAGGTCGGGGAGAAGGGACGGGTGGAGATTGATGCCGCCGTGTTTTGCGAGTCGTAAAAGGCGCGGAGGGACCAAAAGGCCGAAGGAAGCGGTGATGATGAGGGAGGGGGAGGTCGGTGGTGTCCATTTGGTGAATGTATCAGCGGGGAGGACGTGGAGAGGGAGGTTGTGGGATTGGGCGAATATCTTGAGCGGGACTGGAAGTTAATGCTGTTAGCATGACCAACTCAGTAGGAATACCGTGTGCCTGGTATTTTTACCGTCTCGTATCTCCTTCAGCCCTCGACCAACTCGCTTCCCAGGTCGACAGACCACGGACACTGACCCGACCGTCCCATCTTCTACCCGCTTGAGGACCGCTTGAAGGGCCGCGATACTGAAATGATCGGATCCACAGAACAGAATATGCGGCTTGTCGTCTTCGATGTGCGTTTTATTATGAGACCATCTCGTCTGTCCGAAAGACCATGCGACCAATGCCCTCTCGTTTCCTCTCAGGTCCAGAGGAGAGGACCGGGCTGCGGATGCCCATCCAGGGCTACACGATGAAGCATGTCGAAGGATTGGGCGGAGGCAGGGTACAATTGACCTCGCTCTAGACATGTCTGTTCATTGTTATCAATCCTGACTAGATCTCAGTGAGACACGGCGTCTCTTCTCCAGAATATGGGTTTCATTATTTCATATCTGTCATGGCTCGTCGCCGACCGAACATCACCGGCGCCCTCACCAAACTAAATTTAAGCTTAACTGAATTATCCCAGGCGAACAGGGGTCGTTTGTTTACATCTAACCGGAGTAAGTTAGCATCATACAGGACTTGTTCAGGTCATATCCTTCGTATGTATCTCCTTGTCTGCACGTTTCATAACTTTGCCGTGTATTCGGTCTTTGAGAAAGAGTGGTGGTTAGGGCTGGACACGAATAAGGATTTTGGCTATTCGTATTCGACTTTTCCCTGGGAACGATTATTCGTATTCGACTAAATTTCGAGACGTTTTATTCGTATTATTCGCGAATATTCGTAAATAATGCCAAGACTTATTCGGCAAAAGCCGAGCCAATGAATGAATGCCCAGCAGTCGCGACTTTTGTTTACCCAACATGCTCCAACTAGAGGATTTGAGCTCTAAGAGATACAAAGCATATCAATATGTTGCAACTTCTTTCTTAATATGGATGACTTATCCATGTCTCTTGGGAAGCGCCGTCTTCGCTCCGAGAGAGTTGATTATCATCTTCTTAATGATGGCAGTGA